TCTCTCTTTCTCTCTCTCTTTCTCTCTCTCTTTCTCTCATCTATTTGCCAATGTTCGAATTTTTCATTTAATTTAAACAAAAGCAAATTCTTGTTTCTTCATTTCCAAATTCTGTCCCATCATTACAGCTCAAATCTGATGAATGAATCATTTTAAAGCTGTAGAAATGGAATGGAATGGAATATATTCATTCATATTTACTCATTAATCTAATTCTATTTGCTCGATATACACACCATTAACAGTACAAACTATTCATAACCAATAATTTAAAAGCATTTGTATATATTTTAAGCAAATTACGAAAAAAAAGACAAAAATTATTAAATGTGACATTCAATCTATGCATTGTTAAGTATTAACTTAGATTTGCATGCATTATTACAATCATACTTTGCCTTTTTTTTTGTTTTATCAAAAATTTTAACAAAAAAACTGAAAATCTAATTAATTCTCACTTTTTCCACTCGAATAAATGACACTCAAAAAGAGCGAAATTTGACAAAATTGATAAATTTATATTTCTTAAATATACAGATTGTACAACTAACCGTATAAATTCAACAGATAGATATGAAAATTATCATTTTATTCATAACAAATAGTCAATTATTCATTTCTTTTTGTAGTTGAAAAAATGATGCAATTAAATTTTCTTAAAATTTCTATCAAATATGCCAATTATTAACAATGTATGAAACAATTTAAAAATCAAACTATTTTTGAATTGGAGTGAAAATTATTGATCACAATTATATTGTTGGAAAGTATGAACCACCAGCAAATAAAAATTCACATCACGTCTGATAAAATTTAGGCAACAGTAAAATAAGAAAGAATAGAAAGACATCACCAATAATTATTAATATTTTAATATCATTCCGATATATAATGCTAGTATTATCATTGATAATTTCATTGGCTAAAAATTTTTCAACAGCTCATAAAATTTTATTATTTTAAATTGATTTTTCACATTAAATTCTTTTTAACCGAGGAAAATTTTTTGTTACTTCAAAAATTTGATTTAAAAAATCAAATTA